ATCTTTTCTGAAGAAAGGTCTAGGCCCGAAACGTCAGCTTTCCTGCTCCTCTGGTGCTGCTTGGCCTGCTGTGTTCATCCAGCTCTACACCTTGTTATCTTGGGTATTTTTTGGGCTTATTATATGCTGGCTAATGAGAGTGGGCATAATTCTATATTTAGTATTTGGAAATGAACCTGATGGTGGATGACATAGCAATGGGTGATCATTTTGGAAACAGTGATCATAATAGTTACATTTAGCACCCTTATGGAAACGGACAAAGATATTTAAACTTCTAGCTGTGCTCTAAGTCTTAAGGCAATTTTTTTTCAAAGCTGAGATGTGACCTAGCAAAAGTGGACTGGTTACAACTACTTGAAGGAAAACTAGTGGCAAATCGGTGGGAGGAGTTGAAAAAGTGCACAGTGTGAACATGTCCCCACAAAAAGGAAAACCGGTTATACTGCCAAATTTTGAGTCTTTGTTTATCCAGAAGCCTACAAGATGAGATAAACCAGAAAAATAGATTTTTATGACAATCTGATAAAAAGTAATACTATAGGAAGCTTGGAGTAGAATAGGAAATACAGGCGTCAGGTGAAAAAGGAAATTATGAAAATAAAAGAGAATGTACAAAGAAATATAGTCAGAAAATATAACGAAAGATGTTTCATCAGTACATTAAGAGGAAGGGGGTGACCAAGGAAAATGCTGGGCCTATCAGATACATACATGGCAACTTGTACATCGTTGCAGAAGAGCAGTGTGAAATATTAGATAAAATAAGCATAATGAGAAGGGAAAAAGAAGAGGAACTCATCTCCTCCAAAGTGGAAGTTTTTCTGTGGAAGTATGAGGAAGATTGACAGTAGTGGAATGGATGTTCTCTGCTTATAAGGCATTTGACAAGGTCTCACATGGGAGACTGGCCAGAAAAAAATAAAGCCCATGCAAACCAGGAAAATGTAGCAAGTTGAATCTAAAGTTGACTGACAGGTAATAAAAAGTAATGGACAATGTACATTTTTGAGAATGGAAATCTACTTCCAGTGGCGTTCTACAGGGCTCAATTTAGGTTCCATGCTTGCAACGTTGCAGATTTTTTTAAACAAAACAAGATTAAGCAAAAGTAATGAATATCAAATAGGTTTATTCTGTTTATTGATAACACAACTTAATTGCTAATAATGTAAATTCAAAGAGTTTTAAACACAGTAAACATATAATCGCATTAATCCCATAACATTCCTTTTTAAAGTTTCAAAAAAATCAACATCCGTTTTACAGAAATCCTTGAACAATACTCACAAGAGGATCCCTTTCTCTTACATCTCGATAGATTTAAGGTAACTCTCTAATTTCAATTCCTAGAATGGAACATATGATAGCTTATACCTGGAGCTATTATACACCTGAATTTAAATAAACCTAGCTTCAGGTCCTCTTCAGGGCTTCATCTCAACAGTTCTGGTCTTATCGCTAATGTCTTACTCTATAGTAATCAATTTGCTATATTCTCCCCTTCTCGGGAACACTGCTATGTATGTGCATCTCCGTTCAAAGAGTTTACAGAACTGTCCAAAACAAAATTAAACTGAAACAAGTCTCTCTACTTCTCTACAACATTAAAAAACTAGTCCAGAAAGTTCGAACAGAATTCTTGAGGTACAGTTGCCTACCTTGATAGGTAATAAACTCCTAAAGTAAGCAAAAACCCTTTAGGTTTGAAAAGTAACCCTTGTAACCAGTTTCAAAAGAAGTCACAATGGCTACAGAAATACTTGCAAGTTAACTAACATCAGGCACATAAAAAACCCATGCTAATTCAAAACTCAAATGTAAATGAACTTAAAAAAAAAAATGTAAATCAGTTTATATCACATAGGGATAATCTTCGATTAGAGGACAAGTTTATCATTGAGGTGCAGCTCCTGTTAATGCGTTCTGTGAGCAACCAGATCTCACGATCAATGATTAAACCACCTTTTTCTACCAAAAAGGTTATCATCTTCATCCACTAGACTTAATTCTGCTTTCTCTCCACAGATGGTGCCAGATATGCTGAGTTTTTCCAGCAATTTCAGTTTTTTGTTTCAGATCTTCAGCACTCGCAGTTCTTTGTTTTATTTGCATGTTTTTTTTCTTTTGAAACCTTTGCAAATACATATTTAAATTGCTTATTATTTCACTAACTGCAAGTCTTTCTGATATTTTCATTTTCCACTTCTTTAACAAAAGTTTTCTCTACTTAGGATTTATCAGTTTTTGGCGTGGCAACTTGGCAAATGTGATTCGATATTTCCCAACTCAGGCATTGAACTTTGCCTTCAAGGACAAGTACAAGCAATTATTTATGGCAGGAATTGACAAAGAGAAACAGGTATGATTAGATGATATATATAATAGTTACATTTAATTTTTGTGTTGAAGCTCATTCCCTCTGGTGTACAAGCCAATGAATTTTAACATCAATGCATTTGCTACTCCAGCAGTATATTGTGTCTGGATCATTGAGAGGCAGTGGTTGCAGTGATAGATATTAAACCGCATTATACTTTTTGTAGCTTTAAAAAATTTTCTTGTTTTGCTTGTGTCTTTCTGTTGTGTAAATTTGTCTTGTGTCTTTGTTTTCCCTTGGTCCTTTTTGTATTCAATCTGAGACCTTGAAGGTTTATCTATTTAATCACAATGAAGTTTTAAATTGTATACTTAACCTCGACTGTGGAAAGATGTAAATTATGAACCAAACATAAGAGAATTAAACAACTGATTAGAAGAGACATGGATACACCACTTTATAAGCCATGCCAATTGTTGAGAAAATATCTGCACCAGAAAATGTTAATGTCCAATTCAAATATTTATTCACAAGTACAATAATATTTTCTATTTCAGTTTGGAAAATGGTTCTTAGCAAATTTAGCATCTGGAGGAGCTGCGGGTGCCACATCCCTCTGTTTTGTCTATCCCTTGGATTTTGCACGAACGCGCTTGGCTGCTGATATTGGCAAAGGTAGGAAAGTTGGAAAGAAATTTCCAGTCACTAACTGAAACAGCAACACATGCAGTCAGAACTCCCTCCACATGATTCAAACTCCAACTTTAAACAGTGCAAGAGAAGTCAACATTTTGGGAGGACAGGAAGTTGCAAGGAATAGATTGGAAAGGTTGGGATTATACTTGGAGGACTTTGGTAGTAGTGTGGACATAGAATGATGGAGCAGTCATTTGTAGAATCAAATAAGAGTACTCCATTGACCTGGACCACGGAGGAGATGTATTCGGGGAGTAAGTATGACGTGGTCAACCATCATAATAAAATGAGTATGATTTGAGCACATTGAGCTATGACATCAGTCACAGAGGATTTAATTTATAATACTGGTTAGAGCCAATGTTTGTATTTAGCAGAGGTGAAAAGGGCTGAAATCCTGAGTGCACAGCTTCAAACTGGGATTGTATACAGCTTGACATTGATTTGGAAAGCAGTTACAGTTGGGGACTTCAGAGAGGAAAAGGAGATTGGGGATGTGGCGGCAACTTTCAAAAGCAGAGGGGAGGAGTGATTTGACAGTTTTGACAAGGAGAGGATAACAATATTCAGGGATTTACAGTTTAGAAACTGGCTCATCACATTCATGTTGGTAGAAAAAGAGCCATTCAATTTTATCCCACCTTTCACCGCCAAATAGTCATGGGAGTGTAGATCAATCAGTTTTACAATCCCAATCCGGACAATCCATGATAGCCAAATTTACCAATAATAGATAGTAGGAGAGTTTCCTCATTTTTCCGCTGCAACTGATTGCAACAAGATGTGCTTTAAAGTATAATTTTTAACCTCTTCAGTGCTGTGATTCTCAAGAACAGACATGATTGTTTTTTTTCCAAACCTGTGAGAAAAGCTAAGGATAAATGTTTAATTCTCAACACCCAAATATCATCACAGTGGAACCACTCTAACATACAGACAGACAAGAGAAGGTGATTAGTAAAGAGGATACACTTACGTTTTTAGAAGTCTGAAGTCTGAAGAATCACTGTTAATTCTCGAGTCTGTCGAGATAGAAGTTTGAAAAGTTGCAAACCTATTAATTCTCTTTTGCCTCGCTGAGGAAATGGAGGTTAGAAGCTTCTGGAAACAGATTTGGAATATTTACAATTGTAGGCTTCTGACTTTGCTGCAGTTGAAGTTGTAGTTGAGCCCTGTAAGAAAGATCTGACTTTGCTGGCAAACAGAAAAGGTAGAACAGCCATGATGGCATCCATTCAATCCCCGAGCACCACTAAATTGCAATGACAGAGATAATGGATGTCATTTAGATCACTGAGCCTTACTAACATGCTTGCATCAGCACTTAGGAATTCTGTGTCAATCCTTTCTACCCACCGGTTTGATCAGTGAAGGTTTTCCTGCAGCTAGGAAACTGGTGCAGGGTTTCACCTCTATTTAAGTGGGCTGAGCCACCATGGTGCCTTCAGTTCCGGGTTGCATAAAATCCAGTCCATATTGCCTCTCGTCTCTTCAATTGTCCATGACTTTTTTTTTTTCTTTGAAAGAAAAGCCGCATATTCCGTGCAGTATAAACATTGTTTTATGTCAGTTGTATTTTTTCTCCCTCTAGTCTTCTGTCATTTTACCTATGAACAGATTTGCCCGGTTTTCTGTGGACAGTCTTCATCGTATCCAATAGAAGTAAGTAGAGAAAATAAGAGTGGCAGAATGTGTTGATGTGCTCAAAGGAGGAAGGAATATTTGGAGAACAGATTGCTCATGATGAACAGCACTCTGCCACTTAAATATTAACTTATGCCACTTAAGTTGAAGGGTCACCGGACCCAAAACATTAACTCTGTTTTCTCCTTCACAGATGCTGCCAGACCTGCTGAGCTTTTCCAGCAACTTGGTTTTTGTAGCACTCTGCCACTTAGTTTTGGTGGGATTTGTGTACAAGAAATCCACTAAACTGGCAGACAAGGGACTGTGTTTAATGTTTCGCTGCAAATAGTGGCACCTGCAACAATGTAGCATTGCTTACTGGTAGGTGAATGTTTCAGCCGAAATCATGTGCTCAAGTCTTGGAGTGAGTTTAAAATCTGACTTATGAGAATACAGCCCACTGAACCAATTTAACACAATTAATGTAATTATTGATGTACAACCACAGAGGACTAGCCCAGCATCTTTTAAATTTGCAATTACCAACTGATTAAATGGAGAAATTTCTACTATAGTTAAGATATCATCTTTTAATGTAACTAAATATATTCTTTTAAACTATAGGTCCTGAAGAACGGCAGTTTACCGGTCTCTCTGATTGCATTGTAAAAGTTGCAAAGCGGGACGGACCCAGGGGACTTTATCAAGGATTTGGTGTTTCAGTGAATGGCATCATTGTATATCGAGCTTCTTATTTCGGGTGCTATGACACAATCAAGGTAATGTTTTATAAGCAATTCTGATGCAACTAAGTGAAAAATTATATTTACTTATTGAGAATATATGATGCATTCTCCTATTATTGGTTCTTTGGCACTTAAATATTTTGAATGTTCTTTACTGTTACTGTATATATTTTTGGCATACAATTTTGAAATATGTATCATCCCAGAGATATCTGGATGTATTAGTAATGCGGATACGTAATTACCGGAGGATCTTGGATTAGAAGAGCAATATGTGTAGTCTGCTTAGGTGGAGCTATGAAACAGCAAGGGGCTGTCAATGTTGGTTGGAGTCATTTATGGACTATTAAATATTAGTAGTACTGTGAGGCATGGTATTAATCAGGAGATGGGAGAAGTGTGTTTTTATTATTTTAAAAGTGCTGTGTAAATATATTCCTGTTCTAGTCCAAATGAATTTCAGAAAGAAAAGTTTTTTTGCTTGACCAATTTTGTTGAATTCTTTGAGGAAGTAACAGAGTAGGAAAGGGGCATACAATTAATGTGTTCTATATTTTTTCTCTGAAAACGTTACCAGGAAATTCAATAAGGGTAGCACCTTTTTAATGTAGTTTTCAGAAATTTTCACTAGATTTTTGACAACTTTTTTGTAATTTTTGACATGACATTTCTCGTCAGATGTAAAAGCCAATGGAATGTAGGAGGTTAGATCAGAAATATGCTCTGTAGCAGGAAGCAAAGGAGTAATTATTCAGTGTTTTTGGGACTGAAAAGGCCTTTTCCAGTGGTGTTTTGTAGCACTTAAAACAAGGCCTCATACTACTAATGATATTTATTAATGGATTGGGCTTAACGTCTCTCATGTTTGAAACTTTTGCCAATGTTACAAAAATTGACTGGTTGATGGTGAGGAAGGAATCTGTACACTGTCACCAACAATAAACTGCTTAGGGGCATAGAAAAGCAGTAATTGATATACAAACTGCAAGTGTGTATGGTAATACAGTTGGGGAGAGTAACAATGCAAAGGTTGTGCAGTACATCATAGCACTGAGAAATGTAGAATTGAAGAATTTTGGAATAACGACTACATGACAACTGATTCATTGTTGATAATAGAACAGATTGGTAAGGTAGTTAAGAAAACATATGGCATTCTTTTCTTTAATTGCCTAGGCTTAGAATATACAAGTATAGATTATTTTAGTACTGTATAAATACTGGTTGGCTACATTGTAATATTGTGTACAGTTTAAGTCACCACATTACTGAAAGGATGTGATCACTTTAGAGAGGATACAGAGGAGATTTTTGAGGATGTTGCCAGAAATGGCAAATTTTAATTGCTAGTAAGATTAGCTAGGCTGGAGCTGCTTCCCTTGCCACACAGGAGGCTGAGCAGAGATTTAATTGAGGTGTATGCAATTATCATAGAAGGGTTCTGTAATGGTCTTCTAAAGGATTAGCAAACCTAGTGTCATTGTTTCTTTTCCCAATTTAAATCTGTGCTCTCCGGTTCTTGATCCTTTTGCTTTACCTACTTTGCCAAGAACCCAGGTGGCTTCGAGAGCTTCTAACAAATCTCCTCTTAACCTTCTTCTCCAAGTAGAATAATCCTAACTTTTACACTCTTTTTCAATGTGACTGAAGTGCTTCTTGTGAATCATTTTCTGGACCCTGTCTGTTGTCTTCATATCCTTCATGAAGTGTCATGTCTAGGATTGGCCACAATATTACAGTTAAAACGAAACCATATTTTGTACAGGATTAACATAATTTCCCCGCTTTCATATTTTATGCCATTCTATTTATAAAGCCGAGGATGCCATGTGCTTTAACAACTGTGCTCTCATCCTGTCCTTCTACTTTCAATGATTTATGCATGTATACGCTGAGATCCTTTACTTCAACATTCCCTTTGTCTTATTGTCTGTGTTCTTCCTACCAAAATGATCACTTCATACTTCTGTGCCTTGAACTTTATTTATCATTTTTCTACCATTCTATCAACTTGTCTTATGACTTTCAAAGTTCTACGTTAGCTTAATGGTTCACTATACTTCCAAGTTTTATAACACCCACAAATTTTGAAAACATGCTTCTACATCAAGGTTTATATCATTATTATATATCAGGGAAAAGCAAGAACCCTAACACCAACTCTTGGGGAGCTCTGCTATAAATTTCCTCTAGTCATTTAAGCCAACCATTAAACTTTACTATTTGTTTTCCTTACTCAGCCAGTTTTGTATCTGTTGTTCCTGTCCCTTTTATTGCATAAGCACTAATGTTCACAAGTCTGCAATTATTTTGGAAATCAATGTGCACCAAATCGAAGCATTATCCTCATCAGCCACCTCTGTTTACTTCATCAAAAACTCCAGTAAGTAAGTTAAACACAATCTGCCCTTAACAAATCTGTACTGGCTTTCCTTAATTAGTTGCCAAAGTGACAATATCATTTTTAAGAGCTTCCCCACCACTGAATTTAAATTAACCTGTTGTTGTTGAGCTTATCTTTTACACCTATTTTTCAACAAGGGTGCAACATTTGCAATTCTTTAGTCCTCTAGAAATGCCCTCCAGTCTAAGAAAGATGGGAAAATTATGGCCGGTGTTTCTATGATTTCCCTTTTCAATTCCTACAGTATACCCAAATGCATTTCATCCCATCCTGGTAGCTTATCAACTTTAAACACAGACAGCCTATCCAGTAAGTCCTCCTTGTCAATTTTAGACTTTAAGTGTATGAACTGCCTCCTGTTTCACCATCACTTCACTTTACTTGGCGAAGACAAATTGTAGAATGTTCATTTTAATACATCAATCATACTTTCTCTCATTCATATTAAACGCCATCTCTTTCATTATCCAGGTGCCTCTGGATTTGTTTACCCTTGTGGGAATGTACCTTGACCACACTTGAACGCTCTTCCTTAAAACTCAGTTCAGTTTAGTTTCGCCTGCTAATCTTTGGTTCCAATTTATCTGAGCCAAATACGTTCTTCAGTGTCAAAATTCACAGTGATAGTGGGGATATCTATCCCCAAAGTCCATAAAATGCAAGTGAAAACTCATTCACAGACGTGAACAATTGGAGAATAGTCACCTTCAAAAGTAGGAGAAAAGTGTGCTTTCTTCAGATAAGTTCTGTGGTTGGAGAAACAGTGAGAGGTTAGAAAAGTAATGGCTAGCACTAGATGGTCACTGAGGGGAAACAACTGCCAGAGACTGGGAGCCAGCACCTCTTCAGCCATAAAACACAAAATGCTGGAGATCACAGCAGGTCAGACAGCATCCATGAGAGAAAGCAAGGTAACATTTCGAGTCGAGATGATTCTTCATCAGAGCTCTGAAGAGTCAGCTAGACTCAATGTTATCTTGCTTTCTCTCCATGGATACTGCCTGACCTGCTGTGATCTCCAGCATTTTCTTGTTTTCAGCATAGATTCCAGCATATGCAGTAATTTTCTCCTATTTTTTTTCAGCCAGTCTGGGAAGTGGAAGCAGCTGTCTAGGGGACTGGATTCTTGGGCCGGGCCTAAGGTCTGGGAGCCTTTGATTTATTTTACTGAGACCAGGTGGTGGAATCCCTTGTTTGATAAGATGGCTTTCTGCCCTTCTGGTGAGAGGAAGAGTCTCCAAGGGAATAGGGGGATGAGACACCTGGGGGGAGAAGTTGTGGAGAAACTTGGACATGGCAAGAGGGGTTGGGATGGAAGACAGGAAGGCTGCAACGGACGTGAGGGATATGGGGAGACTGCAAGGTACATAGCAGTGATGCAGAGGCTGCATGGAGGATGGTGAAAGATTGGGAGGCTGGAAAGGTGGGCAAGATGAGGATAAAGACAGGTTATGGAAAAGAGAGGGCCACAAAGGGCACAGGAAAGGAAATTGATGCCAAAAGGGAATTGAGAGAGGAATACCACAAGGAGTTTGAGAGATAGGGATATTGCAAAGCAGAAGGAAGCAAGAGGGAGGCTGCAAAGAGGAGAAAATAGTTTCAACTCTGCCAACAGTGGAACAGTCAGCTATCTAGGTGCCAGAAAAAAATGTGAAATTCTTGACGCAATGAATTCCTTGCAAATGAATATGGTATCTCTAGTTTAAGGCTGCAAGAGCTGCTATGGGTAATATGTAGTGGATGCTATCATAATAAATACTGTGCCAGTTGTTTAAATCGAAGAATGTGACTTGAGCTGTAGTTTTAAAAAAAAGGGTTACTAACTGCCTAGTTAAGATCTTCCAGATTTGGGAATATGTGGTGGAAACACATTAGCTGTGACTTCTCCAGTCTGTTTAGGGTGATGACTTTTTGTGTGTAGAAGTGTCCGCCAGTTATTTTGGAAAACAGTTCTGTTGCTAACTTTTGCCTGTTATTTTTCATTTGGAGTGGGTGTGGAGTTGGAACATGCTATCTGACAAGTAGAAACCTCCATTGCATTCAAAAAACACTTGGCTAAGCACTTGAAATGCTGTAACCTACAAGGCAACAGATCAAGAGCAAGAAGGGACGGGCTGGGCATTTGGATCCTGCAAATGACAAGAAGGCATGAATAAACTTTGTATAGATGTATAATTATCAAATGAATTTCATGAAAATAAATGCGAAGTATTACATCTATTTTAAAAAGATAAGAAGGTTGTGTATTACCCAGAAAATATAAACGATGGAATAGCAGAGGAATCTAGGAATACAAATAACAGAAGTCACAATTGGTTGTGCATTTGTCCAAAATGCTGTAGTGAATTCAAAGTGGAAAAGTTACATTAAACTTTTGCATTGAACCTTGATTACACTATTGAGTGCTGTATGCATTTTCTTATTATAGAAAGATCAGAGGCGCTAGATAAGGTGAACTGAGGTTATTTCTTGCTTTCATCTCTGGACAATAAGGGCCTCCCTTCTTTCCTGGATGGCCTCAAACAGAACCACTGGCAAGACTTGAGGCCAAATTCCATCTGATATGGGACATCTCCTGGAGATTGGGGGTTGGGTAGAGGCTCTCACAGGCTCTAGTGATGCTGCACGC